GGGGGGGGGGGGGCACTTGGCTTTGAACTTGCCAGTGCCCCCCCCCTCCCCGGAGATATAGCTGAAAGAAACCCTGATGGCAACACATTATAGCGACAGTGAAAAGAAGATGGCATATTGCCAATTGCGTCACATTTGCGTGGGTGCAGGTATGCAGCCGTGCTAACTCTACTGCTGATTGGCAAGTGCTCCGATGTAATTTGTTTGTATTAAGTCGTGTTCGTGGAGTGACATGACAGAGAGCAATGATGAGAAACAGTTTATTTTCTGCACGAGCCTGGATATTCCGACCAAGTAGGCTAAATGCCTTCATCGGGTGCATGAATGTGGCTTAGTTTGACACATGCTGCATACTGCTTGTTTTCACTACATACTTGTACTCGTTTTAATGTACTTTACTCGGTATAATTAAATGAAATGGGGTTTGCTGTGTTGATAATTTATTTTGTTACGTGTGCCCCGATAAAAATAACAGAGAAAAAAAATCGAAAAGAAAAAAAAAGCTCCGCATCTGTTAGGTGTGCCGCGAGACGACGTTAGGTGTGCTGCGAGACGACGTAGATGACGTTAGGTATGCCGAGGCAAAATTACCCAAAAGAGAAGAAAATCAAGTGAAGACGATAATTATACATTTTTTTAAAACAAAAGGTTCACAAGCTTTCAAAGTTGGTGACCCGAAATATGCGCACACGATAAACGCGCACAGAAAAATCCGCAAATACATAGTTGCGCACAGGATAACTGCGCACACCGACAGATGCGCACACAGAAAATTCCGCACACGGACAATTGCGAACGTTGACAATAGCGAACACTCACAAATGCTCACATTTCAATGACATTTTCTCTTAAGCCACATTTTTAGATTTAACATGGTTCAGATCAGTTGCCTATCAGCACAAAAGGCAAGTTGGGAAGAATAAAAGTCTACGAATCAGTGAGACAGTATGATAAAAATTGAATTTAAAAATAATTTAAACAAAAAAACTTAAATAGCGAAATATTTTTTAAATTTCGAATTATAGCGCACATTCAAAAACTGTTCGAACTGCTTTCAGCCTCATTCTAATTCTATTGTTTTCAGACCTCGATCTCATTCATTGATTCAAATTCTTTTGTTAAAGTTAACATTAACGTCAAGTTTGATCAGTGCTTCAGTTTAAGACTCAATCAAGTAAATCCCATATTATTTGGAGAGAATGGAAGGTTAGTATATTTATAAATGCTTTCTAAAATGAAAACATTTTAATTTATTTTAAATAAATTATTTTGTTATTTTAATCGTAGCTAAATAAAGTTTCAAGTCTAAAGTCTAAAGCTTAAGTAG